ACAGGGAAGGAGCATGGCTGAGAGGAACTGGTTATGGTGCATGAATTTATACTGGGAGAATTGGGAGTGCTTAGGGTATTTTTTATTGTTTAGATAGTCAATGTGAAAATATTCTTGCTATACAGAGTTTTGATATTTTTTATTTTTTAGGACACTGTATTTTTGAAAGTAGGGTTTGAAGAGAATTTTATTATAGGTAACTCCACTGATAAAATAAAGTCAACCTATCATTTAATAAATAAAAATTCCAATCACATTACTTTTATTATTTTAGTACCTTTCTTCTTTCTTTCTCTTCCTTCCTTCTTTTCTTCCTTTCTTTCTTTCTGTTGTCTTTTCTTTCTCTTTCCTTCTTTCTTATCCTTCTTTCATTCTTTTTTCTTTCTATCTTTCTTTTCTTTTGATGGAGTTTCACTCTTGTTGCCCGGCTGGAGTGTGGTAGTACAATATTGGCTCACTGCAACCTCCACCTCCTGGGTTCAAGCAATTCTCCTGCCTCAGCCTCCTGAGTAGCTGGGATTACAGGCATGCACAACCATGCCCCGCTAAGTTTTTGTATTTTTAGTAGAGATGGGTTTCACAACATTGGCCAGGCTGGTCTCAAACTTCTGACTTCAGGTGATCCACTCATCTCTGCCTCCCAAAGTGCTGGGATTACAGGCATTAGCCACTGAGCCTGGCCCGTACCTCCTTTCATCCAAAAGTGTTCTGGTTTGGATGATAAATTAGTCACCCTAACTATGTAGGACCTGGAAAGGTAGCAGATGAAACTATTTGTGTTATTCTTGTCCCTTCATCCACCTCAAAGTCATAAAATATTGAGTTGAAGATCAAAAAGTCTGGAAATGATGGCTGAGTATGGTGGCTCAAGGCCAAGGTGGGAGGATTGCCTCAGCCCAGGAGTTCAAGACGAGCCTGGGCAACATGGCGAGACCCTGTCTCTACAAAAATTAGCAGAGCATGGTAGGGCAAGCCTGTGATCCCAGCTACTCAGGAGACTGAGGTGGAAAGATTGCTTGAGTCTGGGAGATTGAGGCTGCTGTGAGCCAAGATCGTACCACTGCACTCCAGTCCGGGTGACAGAGCAAGACCCTGTCTTAAAAAAAAAAAGATTGGAGAGGAAGGATTTCTTTGGAGAGAGTGGTTAATGTGCCATTCTTGCAAGAGAACTACCTAAAAAGCTTGACAAAGGTCCCCTGTCCTAGCCTACCATAGTTTGAAAAATACCCAGGGGCAAGACCATAGTTGGTGATGCCTTTCAGCTGGCTTTAGAAAGGAGGATAGGATCAGAAGATATAAAGAATTCTAACAATTCAACAAAGCACAAAAAACCCAGTTGAAAAATGGGCAAAAGGGGATAGCCAAAGCAATCCTAAACAAAAATAACAAAGGTAGAGGCATCACACTACCCAAATTCAAATTGTAAGGCTACAGAAGCTAAAACAGCATGGTACTTGCACAAAAGCAGATGCATTGACCAAGGATAGTGAACCCAGAAATAAGCCACGCATCTACAACCATATGATCTTCAACAAAGTTGACAATAACAAGCAATGTCAAAGGTACTCCCTATTCAATAAATGGTGCTGGGCTAACTGGCTAGCCATTTGCAGAAGAATGAAACTGGACCTCTGCTTTCACCATATAAAAAAATTAACTCATGATGGATTGAAGTCTTAAACATAAGACCTAAAACTCTACAAATTCTAGAAGAAAACCTAGGAAATACTATTCTGGACATTGGCCTTGACAAAGAGTTTATAATGAAGTACCCAAAAGTAATTGCAACAAAAAGTTGACAAGTGGAACCTAAGTAAAATAAAGAATTTCTGCATAGCAAAAAACAAACAAACAACAACAACAAAAACCCCAAAACTGTAAACAGACTAAACAGCTGACCCATGGAATGGGAGAAAATATTTGCAAACTATGCATCCAATAAAAGTCTGAGGTTCAGAATCTATATGGAAACTTAATTCAACAAGCAACCTCATTAAAAAATGGTCAAAGGACATGAACAGACACTTCTCAAAAGAAGATACACATGCAGCCAACAAATACATGAAAAAATGCCCAACATCACTAATCATTGAAGAAATACAAATCAAAACCACAATTAGATACCATCTAGCATCACTCAGAGTGACTATTAAAATGTCAAAAAATAACAGATGTTGCTGAGGTTGCATAGAAAAGGGAATGTTATACACTGTTGGTGGGAATGTAAATTAGTTCAGTCCCCATGGAAAGCAGTTGGGAGATTTCTCAATTTAAAACAGGACTACCATTCAATCCAGCAATCTTATTACTGGGTATCTACCCAAATGAAAGTAAGTCATTCTACCAAAAAGATATGTGCATGCATATGTTTATCAAGGCACTATTCACCATATTAAAGACAAGGAATCAACCTAGGTGCCAATGAACAGTAGACTAGATAAAGAAAATGTGGTACATATACACCATGGAATACTATACAGCCATAAAAAAGAATGAAATCATATCCTTTGTGGTAACATGGATGCAGGTGGAGGCCATTATCCTAAGTGAATTCATGCAGGAACAGAAAACCAAACCACGTTCTTTTTTGAGACAGAGTCTCGCTCTGTCACCCAGGCTGGAGTGCAATGGCATGGTCTCCACTCACTGCAACCTCTGCCTCCTGGGTTCAAGTGATTCTCCTGCCTTAGCCTCCCCAGTAGCAGGGACTACAAGTGCGTGCCACCACACCAGGCTAATTTTTTGAATTTTTAGTAGAGATAGGGTTTCACTATGTTGGCCAGGATGGTCTTGATCTCCTGACCTCGTGATCTGCCTGCCTCGGCCTCCCAAAGTGCTGGGATTACAGGCATGAGCCATTGTGCCCGGCCACATGTTCTAACTTATAAGTGGGAGCTAAAAATTGAGTACACAGGATATAAGATGGGAACAGTAACACTGGGATGAGGTCACATTTTCATACTTGCATTGTCCTGTCCCCTAGCACTCATCTGCTGATTGTAAAAACTGGTCTTTCCCTTTCAAATTCTTCTTCCCACCCCATCTCAATTACTTCTGGGAATCCTCACATGGGCCCTTATGTATAGCCACATTACAAGGGTAATAAAGTGTCTTTGCTCAAACCAGGAATATGCAAGTCATAGGGAAAAAAATCTAGGGCCTTGATAACAATCATCACTTTTTTAATTTTTGAGACAGAGTCTCCCTCTGTTACTCAGGTTGGAGTGCAGTGGCGTGATCTCGGCTCACTGAAGCCTCAACCTCCAGGGCTTAAGTAATCCTCCTAACTCAGCCTCCTGAGTAGCTGGGACTATAGGCATGTGCCACCACACCTGGCTAAATAATTTTTTTTTTTTTGTAGAGATGGAGTCTCACTATGTTGCCCTCAAGAATTTGAGAATATGCTGTTCTCAAATTCTTGGGGACAAGCTGTCCTCCTTTGCTGGCCTCCCAAATTGCTGGGATTAAAGGCATGAGCCTCCTTGCCCACTGACACGGGGGCTACTAGAGGAGGGAGGATGGAAGAAGGGAGAGGGTTGAAAAACTACCTATTGGGTACTATGCTCACTATCTGGATGATGAGATCATTGGTTTGTTACCCATGTAACAAGCGTGGACATGTACCCCCTGAACAAAAATAGAAGCCGAAAAAAAAAGATGGGCAAAGGATTTGAATAGACCTGCTCTAAAGAAGATATACAAAGGGCTAATAAGTACATGAAAAGCTGCTTACCATCATCAGGTATTAGGAAAATACAAATCAAAGCCTCAGTGAAATACTACTTCTTGCCCACTAGATGGGTAAAATAGCAAAGAGACAAATCAGGAAGCGCCAGCCAGGATATGGAGAAATTAGAAACTCTCACACATTGCTGATGGAATTGTAAAATGGTGCAGCCATGTTGGAAAACAGTTTGGCAGTTCCTCAAAAATTGAAACACAGTCACTATATGACCAGGCAATTGTACTCCTATGTATGCACCCAAGAGAGATGAAAACATACATTCATACAAAAACTTGCACATGAATGTTCATAGCAGCATTATTCATAATAGCCAACAAGTGGAAACAACCCAAATGTCCATCAATAAACATAAATAAACAAAATGTAGTATACCCAAACAATGGAATATTTTCAGTCATTAAAAGGAATGATGTACTGACGCATGCTAAATCATGGATGAACCTTGAAAACATAATGCTAAGTTAAAGAAGGCAGACGCAGCCGGGCGCGGTGGTTCAAGCCTGTAATCCCAGCACTTTGGGAGGCCGAGGTGGGCGGGTCACGAATTCAAGAGATCGAGACCAACCTGGCCAACATGGTGAAACCCCGTCTCTACTAAACCTACAAAAAAAATTAGCTGGGCATAGTGGCGCGTGCCTGTAATCCCAGCTACTCAGGAGGCTGAGGCAGGAGAATTGCCTGAACCCAGGAGGCGGAGGTTGCGGTGAGCCGAGATCGCACCATTGCACTCCAGCCTGGGTAACAAGAGCGAAACTCTGTCTCAAAAAAAAAAAAAGAGAGAGAGAAAAAAAGAGATCTTGCCCGAGAGTATGATGGGAACCAACAGAGAGAGTGTGGAGATGGCCACACCATGCTATGGGGTGATGAGTGACCAGCTGAAGCAGAGGCCATCCCCCAATACCAAGTAAAGAGGCACAGTCAGAGAGCTTCCTGGCCAGCCCATCGGAGTAACCAGGAGAGAAGCATCATCTCAAATCATTTAACATGTTCAGAGAAACTCTAAGCCTGGAGGGTCAGAAGTCCCAGAAAGCACGGGCTGTGGAGGAGAGGCTGCCAGAGGAAAAACAGAAGCACGCAATCACCCTTTCCTTGACTGCCTGCTTCTGCCTTGAGCAGGCCACGCTGAGGCAAGGAAGATGCTCTAAGTTGACATAAAGTCAAGAGTTCCCATTGTTACACTGCAAGAGATGTATTCATTTCTAACATTAGTTTTTTTTGTGGCTGAAAGTAATCGGTATTTTTTTTTACCTCTTAGAATGAATGACAAACTATGGCGCTTGCCCAAGTTTCATACAGTCATGGAGAAGAACTAGCACCACAGGGCATCTGGTGCCTATTCCTCAACACAGATGTATCTCGAATAGATCGCTCCAGAGAGTGGTAAGTGCTATGATGAAATCATAGTTCAGATGAGAGATGAAGATGTGAAATCAAGTATATGGGGAAATCATAGGTTTAAAAATTGACAAATTTGGCCAGACCTGGTGGCTCACGGGAGTTTGAAGCCAGCCTGGGCACACGGCGAAACCTCGTCTCTACAAAAAATACAAAAAGTAGCCAGTTGTGGTGGCACTCACCTGTAGTCCCAGCTACTTGGGAGGCTGAGGTGGGAGGACTGCTTGAGTCTGGGAGGTCGAGGCTGCAGTGAGCTGAGATTGCCCCACTGCACTTCGGGTAGGCAGCAGAGTGAGATCCTGTCTCAAACAGAAAAACAAACAAATCGACAAATTTGAGCAGCAGATAAGATGTGGGAAATAACAAAGAAGGGGACATCAAAGATGACTCTAAGTGCTCTCATTTGGGAAATTAGGTGATTGACTGTCGTAACAGCTGAAGGAAGGAGGGAGGAGTAGATATTGGTGGAGGAAAGGAAGATACAAAGTTTTGTTTTTGACAGGCTGAGTTTGAGGAGCATGTGTCATAGAAAGGTCGGAGGCCAGGAGAGAGTTGGAAATGCAGTCTAGACTGCAGGTGGCAATTCAGGTGGAATGGATTTTTAAATTTTCAGGACATTGCCCGGGCATGGTGGCTCATACCTGTAATCTCAGCACTTTGGGAGGTTGAGGCGGGTGGATCACCTGAGATCAGGAGTTTGAAACCAGTGTGGCCAACATGGCGAAACCCTGTCTCTACTAAATACACGAAAATCAGCCAGGTGCAGGGGCAGGCCTCTGTAATTCCAGCTATTCAGGAGGCTGAGGCTGGAGAATGGCTTGACCCTGGTAGGTGGAGGTTGCAGTGAGTGGAGACTGTGCCATTGCACTGCAGCCTGGGCAACATAGCAAGACTCTGTCTCAAGAAACATAAATAATAAATAAATTTTCAGGATATAGCTAGCAAGGGAAGCACAAGGCTAGGTAAAATCACATATGGAGAAAGAGCACAGGGCGAGAAAAGGGCTTGAGATTGAATCAGTCTTTAATGGTTAGTGGAATGTGCTAAAGCAAATATAAAGGAGAAGGTAGAAAGATCTAGAGAAAAAGAGAGTATGTAACCACACAATCAGTATGAGAAATCAGTGAGGATGCCTGAGCCACACAACCACTCCTCCCAGTAGTACAAACAAAGTAAGTATTGGTGACGGCCAATCCGACAGCAATAAGGTGCTGTTTTTCATAACACATTAGCTAACACTCTTGACCAACTGATAAGGAATGTTGCCTGAGCAAATAGTGAACTTGCAACTTACCTTCGCCTGGTGATTCCTTGAAGTGTGTGACTTGAACTTGCAAGGTAATTCAATAGGGAATAGGGTTGGATTTTGGACCATGATTGAGAATGAAGTGAACTGGTGACTTCTGGATCATTTATAAGATCCCAAATACTTTAACATGGTGCAGAAGCCCTTCCTGCTCTGACCCCTGACTCTTCTAACCTTATTTCTCAGTTTTCCTTGTTCATCCTACCCTTCAAGCAGTCCGATGACCTGATTGTGCCGAGTGCTCCCTCATGCCTTCGTGCCTTTCACTCTGCTGTTTCTTTAGCTTGGAATACCAGTCTGTGGTCTAAAACCCTTTGCCAACTTCCCCTAGTCTTGGAATCAATTCAAATCTAATTGTGTGTAACACTATCTTTACCTACTGTTGAAAGAAAACAAGCCTACAATAGAGCTTCATACTACTTAAACTCCCTATGAGAGAGTTAAAATCTTAGTGAAACCCCAGCTTTTTAAGATTTTGCTGGACACTGTGTCCCATTTTTGATATGCATGCTATTAGCCTTTCTGACGGAAGCCAGATTTTTTTTTTTTTTGAGACAAGAGTCTTGCTCTGTTGCCCAGGCTGGAGTGCAATGGCACAATTGCGGCTCACTGCAACCTCCGCCTCCCAGGTTCAAGTGATTCTCCTGCCTCAGCCTCCTGAGTAACTGGGATTACAGGCATGCACCACTACTCCTAGCTGAATTTTTGTATTTTTAGTAGAAACGGGGTTTCGCCATGTTGCCCAGGCTGGTCTTGAACTCCTGACCTCAGGTGATCCACCCACCTCGGCCTCCAAAGTGCTGGGATTACAGGCATGAGCCACTGTGCCCGGCCGGAAGGCAGACTTCTGAATCTACTCACTTATAATCATGTTTCTCCTTCTTTGTGAAATAATATGAAATCCTTCTCCTCTACCTCAGTTTCATGAACCTTCTCCTTTCTCACCAAACACAAAATCCCTCCTCACCTGAGTGTCACAAGACAGTTCTCAGCCAGGATTTTTTTTTTTTTTTGTCAGCCAAGAACAACAACAACAACGATAAAGTAAAATAATGCATGTCACTTGACCTCTGACATCAGACAAATCCCAACTGAGAACTAGTCTCCAAAATACCCGGCACTCTTCAGGGTGCCACAGTCAAGAAAAACAAGGAAAGGCTGTGAAACTGTCACAGATTAGAGGGGGCTGGGGAGATATGATAAATGCGCAATGTGGTATCCTGGAACAGAAAAAATAATATAGTGGAAAAACTGGAGAAATTGAAATAATCTGAGTTTAGTGGAACAGTTATAGTATTGTACCAGGATCAATCTTTTATTTTTGAGAAATGTATTGTACCATGTTAATAATAATACAATGTATTATGATGTTAATATTAAGAAAGCTAAAAGAAAACCAATAATCTGATATATGAAAATAACTAAGGTGTGGCCCAGCATGGTGGCTCATGCCTGTAATTCTAGCACTTTGGGAAGCCAATGTGGGTGGATTGCTTGAGCCTAGGAGTTCAAGACCAGTCTGGGTAAAATGGTAAAATCCCAACTCTACAAAAAATATAAAAAATTAGCCAGGCTTGGTGGTGCATGTCTGTAGTCTCAGGTACCCAGGAGGCTGAGGTGGGAGGATCGCCTGTGTCCAGGAGGTCAAGGATGCAGTGAGCTGTATTTGAGCCACTGCACTCCAGCCTGGGTGACAGAGGGAGACCCTGTCTCAAAAATAGTATAATATAATAATTAAGATGTAAAAGCCACCCGGCTTCTAGGTGGTGATCAGTCCTCTTTTCCCTCTTTAGTTCTTAGTAAATGAAATCCTGACATTAAAAGTCTAACTTCTTTGGCTGGGCCTGGTGGCTCATGCCTGTAATCCCAGTATATTGGGAGGCCAAGGTGGGCGGATCATGAGGTCAGGAGTTCGATACCAGCCTGGCCAATATGGTGAAACTCCATCTCTACTAAAAATACAAAAATTAGCCAGGCGTGGTGGTGAGTGCCTGTAATTCCAGCTACTCTGGAGGCTGAGGCAAGAGAATCGCTTGAACCCAGGAGGCAGAAGTTGCAGTGAGCCAAGATCGTGCCATTGCATTCCAGCCTGGGTGATAGAGTGGGACTCCATCTCCAAATAAATAGATAAATAAATACAAGTCTAACTTCCACACTACCTCTTTGACTATATCTCAGGCCATCTTTCCTTTGATGGGTCCCACCCTAGTCATCTGGCCTTCTAGTTCCCAGGACACTCTGAAGCTGGCCCCACTGCAGGGTCCTTGCCCTTGTTGTGTTCCTCTTCTTGGAACCTTTCTCCACTCCCTCTTTGCAGAGCTGGCTTCTGTCTTTTGAGTCTCAGCTTCATGTCACCTTCTCAGAGAGGCCTGCTGGGACTGCCTATCCCAATAATCTCGGTCACAGAACTTTATGCATTTTTCTTCATTGCCCTAATCATAGCCTACAATTTATTGCTGTATTTGCAATATTTCTCCCTTCAGAATGTTTGCTCTATGAGGACAAAGACCATTTCTATCTTGTTCTATGTAATTTCTCCTACCCCTGTGTTTTCCCAATTTTTTTTTGAGACAGGGTGACAAACTGAGACCGTTTCCAGTGCCTCACTGCAGCCTTGACCTCTGGGGCTCAAGTGATCCTCCCTGCCTCAGCTCCTGCCCCAAGTAGCTTGAACTTGATGGGTGCCACCATACTAGGCTAATTTTTTTTTTTGTGTGTGCATACACACACACACACACACACACACATATATTTTTGTAGAGATGAGGTTTTGCCATTGTTGCCCAGGCTTACCTTAAAATTTATATGTTGAACTCCTAATCCCTAGTATGATGATATTAGGAGATGTGAATCTTTGGGAATTGATTAGGTCTTGAGGATAGTACATTCATAAATAAAATTAGTGCCCTTATAAAAGAAGCTCCAGAGAGCTCCTTTGCCCCTTTTGTTTTGGGAGGCCATCTGTGAACCAGCAAGTAGGCTCTCACCAGATACCAAATATGCCGGTGTTATAATACGACCAGAACTGTTAGAAATACATTTCTGTTGTTTATAAGCCACCCAGTCTATGGTATTCTGTTCTAGCAGCCTAAAAATACTAAGATGCCCATAATAGTTGTTCAATAGGCCAGGCTCGGTGGCTCATGCTTGTAATTCCAGCACTTTGGGAGGCTGAGGCAGGTGGATCACCTGAGGTCAGGAGTTCGTGACCAGCCTGGCCATTTTGGTGAAACCGCATCTGTACTAAAAATACAAAAATTAGCTGGATGTGGTGGCACACACCTGCAATCCCAGCTACTTGGGAGGCTGAGGCAAAATTGATTGAACCCAGGAGGCAGAGGTTGCAGTGAGCCGAGATTGCACCACTGCACTCCAGCCTGGGCAACAGAACGAGACTCCATCTCAAAAAAAAAAAAATTGTTAAATACATATTTGTTAAATGAATGCCAAAGGATAATTTTCTAAGAGTTAAAAACATGCTGTCATCAAATATATAGTAAACATGTGTCAAATATTAATCTAACTCACTTAATGAAGGGACCAGAAAGATAATAAAACTGGCTGAAGGAGAATTCAAGGACAGAGGTTGATGTAGCAGAAAAGACATGCTGAAATAAATTAGCTAGGTTAAAGGGAAATCTAGTTTATGTCCTACTGCTGAATAAACTACAATCTTTAGGGTTGTCTTTTCTACAGAATAGGAATCATTTGCATCTCTAACAGACAAAAACCTACAAGTTAAAAGGTAACATCGTAGAATCTGGACCTTAATAATAGTAATTAACAAGTCAAACAAAGGTATATTCTCTAGATGAATAACACTTGGGTGGACCTGTTAGACAATGCTCCAGCATGACAGTGAAAGGACATGCAATTATCTTTTGGCCTTAATTTTTATTTATTTATTTATTTATTTTTCTGATACTGAGTCTTGCTCTGTCATGCAGGCTGGAGTGCAATGGCACGATCTCGGCTCACTGCAAGCTCTGCCTCCCAGGTTCAAGCGATTCTCTTGCCTCACCTCCCAAGTAGCTGGGACTATAGGTGTGTGCCCAGCTAATTTTTTGTATTTTTAGTAGAGACGAGGTTTCACTGTGCTAGCCAGGAAGATCTTGATCTCCTGACCTTGTGATCTGCTCACCTCGGCCTCCCAAAGTGCTGGGATTTCAGGTGTGAGTCACCGCAACTGGTCCTTTTTGCCTTAATTTTGAAATTAGGACATTTTTAAAAAATAGAAGATTAAAAAATATAGAATGAATGAACAAGTGCTCCAACTGAAGTTTGGAGTGGGGAGGCCCAGTCAGTTGTGGGCTAGGTATGGGGCATCTGCTTCATCAGGTCTTCCCCAAAAGCCATCGTGATTGACTCCAGCATTCATTCTTTGAGAGCCAGCCAATGTTTCATCTTCTCTGTGGAGACTGTCTAGATTTTTCTCTCACTCCTGATCAGGCAAACTAAGGTGGACAAACCTTGTAATCACGGTTATTGTGGCCTGGCACAGTGGCTCACACCTGTAATCCCAGCACTTTGGGAGGCTGAGGCGGGAGGATCCCTTGAGCCCAGGAGTGTGAGACCACCCTGGGCAAAATAGTGAGATCCTGTCTCTACAAAAATACAAAAAGTTTGGGTCAAGCACGGTGGCTCATGTCTGTAATCTCAGCACTTTGGGAGGCCAAGGTGGGCAGATCACCTGAGGTCAGGAGTTCAAGACCAGCCTGACCAACATAACGGACCCCCACCCTCACCCCTCCGTCTCTATTAAAAAGACAAAAATTAGCTGGGCTTGGTGGGGCCTACCTGTAGTCTCAGCTACCAAGGAGGCTGAGGTATAAGAATCATTCGAACCTGGGAGGTGGAGGTTGGAATGAGCCGAGATTGCACCACTGTAGTCCAGTCTAGGCAATAGAGTGAGACTCTGTCTCAAAACCAAAAACAACAGCAACAACAATGAAAATTCACGAAGCATGGCAGCACGTGCCTGTGGTCCCAGCTACTCAGGAGGGTGAGGTGGAAGGATGGCTTGAGTCCAGGAGGCTGAGGCTACAGTGAGCTGAAATTGCACCACTGCACTCCAGCCTGGGTGACGAGGGAGACCCTGTCTCAAAAATAAAAAAGATGATGATTGTTTTCAAGGCCCTAGATTTTTTTCTCTATGACTTGCATATCCCTGGTTTGAGCCAAGATGCTCTATGACCATTGTTACCCTTATTTCCCAGACCACATTTTTGTTTGTGGATATACAGAAGAACCCATGTAAGGATTCCCGGAAATGACTGAGATGAGGTGGGAAGGAGAATTTGAAAGTGAGAGCCCAGTTTTGTTGTTGTTGTTGTTGTTGTTTTTGAGATGGAGTCTTGTTCTATCACCCGGGCTGGAGAGCAGTGGCGTGATCTTGGCTCACTGCAACCTCTGCCTCCTGGGTTCAAGCAATTATTCTGTATCAGCCTATCTGGGACTAAAGATGCATGCCACCATGCCTGGCTAATTTTTGTATTTTTAATAGAGATGGGATTTCACTATATTGGCCAGGCTAGTCTTGAACTCCTTATCTCATGAGCTGCCCACCTCGCCTTCCCAAATTGCTGGGATTACAGGTGTGAGGCACTGCGCCCAGCGAGAGCCCAGTTTTTGCAATCAGTAGATGAGTGCTAGAGGGCAGGACAATGCAAGTATGAAAATGTGACCTCATCTGTATTCCAGCTAATGAGACCAGCTGCATGTTGGTTAGACGAGCATCAGAGCTGCTTTGTCCCTTGGTCCCATGAGATGCTACTCTATAAAACATGTCCAAGCGCCAGCCTCACATGTTTGTCTTTCTCTATTTATTTTTAAGACACGGTGTCACTCTGTTGCCCAGCCATTGCATGCCAGCTCACTGCAGCTTCAACCTCCTGGGCTCAAGTGATGTAGTTGGGACTACAGGCACATGCTGCCTCGCCTAGCTAATTTTTGTATTTTTAGTAGAGACAGGTCGTTATGTTGCCAAGGCTGGTCTTGAACTGCTGAGCTCAGGTGATTCTCCCGCCTCAGCATCCCAAAGTGTCTAGTTTCAGCACTTACTTTATTTAGAGGTGTAGCTATCTTTGGGACCAAAAACTGTGAGCACTGAACCAGTGACTAGCTTGAGAAGAAAGCATTTCCAAGGCAAATAATGAATGGCTCAATCCAAGCTGAAAACAGTCCTCTTAGTGCACCAGAAGGGACCTTTTGGCAAGTGGCATCTTGCCAGAAAATTAACTCAAAACAAATCCCTAACAGCTCAGAGATGGTGGAGGGGAATTTCAGACACAGTCAGCAGGGCAGGACCATGTAACTGTTTACAGGAACTGCCTCACTCACACTTTGATGTTGACTCTCTGCAGAGCTTCTGCTGCTTCAAAACAGCGTGCGGGAATCGGAGACATTACATCAGGAAGTTACTGCAGAGAGATTCTACTCCATCTCATTCATTGTACAGGTGAGGAATCCAAGGGTCAGAGATTTTAAAGGATTTGTCCAAAGCCACAGAGTGGAGAACTGTGAGTAGAACCCAGATTTTTGTTGCCTAATTCAGGTGTTTTCAATCTCAGTACCTTACAAATAAGCTAGGAAGGCGTGGCACCCACATGGATTTGCTTTCTGGTTGATATATCTCTGTTCCTAGGGCAGGGCTCAGGCGTCAGTCAGTAAACAGGAGGAAGAGACAGATGTGGCTCTATCTATCTAGTGTATGGGAGCAGTGTGTGACATTGTGACGAGATGTGTTAGCACAGGCACAATTTAAAGCAGTGCCATGGCAACCGGCATTCACTCAGGCTCCAGATAGCACCGTGATTTACAGGGTGTAGCTGAAAATGGCTTCTCACCTAGTGAGTGGAATCTTGCAGCCTCTATTTCCCTGCAGTGAGTGACTCTAAAATATACCAAACAATGCAGCAACAAGACTGGTCCAACTTCTTTACCAAGAATTGGGGGTTTTCAACATAACTCACAGGAGAAATAAACTCAGCAGCGTTGGGAATCCCCAAGGCAATCTGCAAAGTAGTATGGTTTTGCTTTCTCTTAGACCAATGCATTGTTTCGGCATCTTCCCGGAGCACTAATGTTTCAAAGAGGTCCCCTAGGCATGAGGGGAAGGCAACAGGGTAGGGCACCACCATTTGTTTCTTTCTTATATACTGAAGAATCTGCTGCTACCCTCCCCACAAATTCTTTTTTTTTTTGAGACCGGTCTCATTCCATCACCCAGGCTGGAGAACAGTGGAATGATCATGACTCACTGCCACTGCAGCCTTGACCTCCTGGGTTCGAGTGATGCTCACACCTCGCCTCTCCAGTAGCTGGAACTACAGGTCCATGCCACCATACCCAGCTAGTTTTTGTATTTTTAGTAGGGATGGGATTTTGCCATGTTGCCCAGGCTAGTATTGCCCTGGCTCAAGCAATCCACTCACCTCAGCCTCGTAAAGTGCTGGGATTACAGGCTTGAACCACCATAGTTGGCCCCCACAGATTCTTAAACCATGGCAGTAGACGAGAGGAGGTCTGGAATGAGTTAAGTTTCATCAGTAGGACTGAGTATTAGGTCATTTGTCCTGAGATGCTAAAGCCTCCTTGATTTTAACTTAAATGCTCATATAATCTTTCCTGAAACAGAACTGAAACAGACCACTTATGGTCTCCAATATGTACATGGTCTTTTATTTTTATTTTTGTGTTTCTAATTGTGCACATTCGACTAAAGACTTCCAGCTTCCCCAACAAGTAGGTGTAGCCAGATGACCAAGTTCTGACCATCACACTACAAATGGAAGTGGTGCAGCTTTCTGGGGTGTGCCCTGTCTCTGGGGCTCACCCGCTTTTCTTGGACTAGCTTGTATTTGTGGCAACTCATCTTGAACCATGAAGACAACCCCCCCAGGAGTGCCATGGGAACAACCCCCCAGGAATGGCAGAGCAATAAGACATACTCTCACATGATTTAAAAATATTGCTACTTATTTTATCACTACAAAAAAAAAGAAAGCAGGAGGTAGCCAGTATGCTAAAGAAGGCTACTTCTGAGCAAAACTCTCGAGCAGAGCTGCACTACCAGTCCTCCTTTAAAAAAAAGAAAAAAAAGGGGTCAGACATGGTGGCTCACGCCTGTAATCCCAGCAGTTTGGGAGGCCAAGGTGGACGGATTATCAGGAGTTCAGGAGTTGAGGTCAGGAGTTCAAGACCAGACTGGCCAACGTGGTGAAATCCCATCTCTACAAAAATTAGCTAGACATGATGGTGAGTGTCTGTAATCCCAGTTACTTAGGAGGCTGAGGCGGGAGAATCGCTTGAACCTGGAAGGCAGAGGTTGCAGTGAGCAGAGACTGTGGCATTGCACTCCAGCCTGGGCGACAAGAAGAAGACTCAGTCTCAAAAAAGAGAAAATTCTTCCTGTGTTAGCAGCTGAACCAGTATCCTAACTAATAGCTCCACTAAAACTGCCATCATTCATGCTAAAAGTGTGATTTAGGGGGCTTGGGACTCCAAGTCACAAACAGCAAGCCTTGCTGAAAGTAGTTTTCAAAATTAAGAGTTTAAAAACGATGTCATTTTACAAGCAATCAAGGAGAAGCGTGGCCTGGGTTGGTGCAGTTTCAGGTTGTTGTATTAATTTCCTGCTGCTACTATGGTAATTATCACGAACTTGGCTTAAAGCAACACAACTTTATTCTTTCATAGTTCTGGAAGCCGGAGTCTAAAATCAGTTTCACTGGACTAAACTCAGCTGGCAGGGCTGTTTTTTCTGGGAGCTCTAGGGAAGATCTGTTTTCTTGCATTTTTTTTAGTTTCTGGAGGCTGTCTGCATTCCTTGGCTCGTGACTCCTTCCTCAAATCACTCCAACCCCGGCTTCCATCGTCTCTTCCCCTACTTCTGTTGTCAAATCTCCATTTGCTTCCCTCTCATAAGGACATTTGGGATTATGTTTAGGGTCCAGCCAGATAATTCAGCATAATCTCATCTCAAGATCCTTAACTTTATCACATATATAAGGTAAAACTGATAGGTTCTAGGGCTTAGCCTATGGATATCAGCCTACCAACGTTGATAAAAAGCTTTTCATTTCCCTGCTCTGCCATTCTAATGTTTTGGTATCATCTCCCTTCATGGTTTTAAAATCACTTCGGACCAAAATGGGAGGATCACCTGAGGTCAGGGGATTGAGACCAGCCCGGTGAAATCCCGCCTCTACTAAAAATGCAAAAATTAGCTGGGTATGGTGGTGGGTGCCTGCAATCCCAGCTACTTGGGAGGCTGAGATGGGAGAATTGCTGGAATCCAGGAGGAGGAGGTCGTAGTGGGCCAAGATTGTGCCACTGCACTCCAGCCTGGGTGACAGAGCGAACTCTGTCTCCAAAAAAAATCACTTTGGAGCTCCCAAGCATCACATCCTCCACATCCTCACTAGGCCATGTCCAGAGCAGGAAGGGAGGGGTGTTCCCATCCTCTATCTTTTAGTTATTAACAGTGATGTGCTTTCCCAGCAGAAGCCACATCAGGTCCCATTAGCTAAGACTGAGTCACCTGCCTGTGCTCTGGCTGCACACTGGGCTGAGAATGTGCGTATCTGGCATTTTTAACCTCTGCATCACAATGTCAGTGCTCCCACCAAGAGCCTGACTGACTGCTGAGGAGGAAACAACTCCTTACTATACCATCACCACTTAGCCCCCAGGGCTTCTCATCAAACATGCTTTTTTTTTTGAGATGGAGTTTCACTCTTGTTGCCCAGGCTGGAGTGCCGTAGCACGATCTCAGCTCATTGCAACCTCTGCCTCCCAGGTTTCAAGTGATTCTCCTTCCTCAGCCTTCTGAGTAGCTGGGATTACAGGTGCCCACCATTACATCCAGCTAATTTTTGTATATTTAGTAGAGATGGAGTGTTACCGTGTTGGCCAGGCTGGTCTCGAACTCCTGATCTCAGTGATCCTCCCACCTCTGTCTCCCAAAGTGGTGGGATTACAGGCATGAGCCACCACGCCTGGCCCCATTTGACACATTCTTCCCTCTGTGCCTTCTCTCTATTTCTAGGGAGAAACATGACCGATGTCAGCTGCCCTAGAATCAACAGACTCCCCTTCAGTTGGTGTCCCACTGTAAAGTGGTCACGTCATATAGTCATACATATGCTACAGCCAAAGCGGAGGCTTGTCAACGCAGGAGGCACCCATAGGTACCTCTCAGAGGTGGCAAAAGGAAAGAGGAAGTGGGGGCAGGCAGAGGCAGTGGTTGTAATTTGAGTCACTTCTGTTAATGGTACCCACTTTTAGATAGCTCAATCCACTTTGACTCTGGAAAAATGTGAACAGAAACCTTGCTGGGTTTAGAGGAGAGAGCCTCCCCACTGCTCTTCCGCGGGGCATCCTGGAACAGGCTGCTGCAGAGGCTCAGGGCAGGTCTGGGGCAAGGCCAGACCCTGCTGTGTTTTGGATGGACTAGGAAAAGTTTCTGTACAGAGGTAACAGAGACTGGAGATGATGTGTGGGAATTACTCTACTCTTATCCTGAGTATGCCTGGACTTCAGTCCTGGTGCTCTTCAGGAAAGAAGAGGCTGGGGTTGCCACTCTCTAGCAGACCATTGTTACTCCCAGCAGCTCACTTAAAGCTTCCATTTCCGTAACCAATTACAGAGCAAATGCTTTTTCATAGGAACTGGTCTTTCTGGGGTTGACATTTCAGGTCGCAAAGACCCTGAAGCTTTAGGAAAGCTTTGCCGTTGAGAAGGTTAGCGGGGTAGACATTGCAACGCTCTCCTAGCTGCAGTTAGCTGGTGTTGCTGCCAAATGCTAACACGTATTTTCCCTTGACTCTCAATGAAAAACGGCATTGGTACGAATATTTGGAGAGTAGCTGTGAAAGTTCATCTGGTGTTAATAGGGAAACATTGTCCTTTTCTCTGCTGATGGGAGAGCGTGTCAAGCATGAGGCTGGCCTCATCCCGGAGAGACTCACAGGGTTCGTTCTCTCTCCAGGAATGGTAGGGGAAGCAACGGGTTTTGAAACGTTGGGTTTTCCCTGGCCCGGGAGAAAGTGGATCAAAGGAATCGAGGTTTTCTTTGCTATTGTTTGGGTTCTCCAGTTTGAAAGAGCCATGGAGGTGTTTCCTATGGGCCATTAAAGGCAACGTTGAGGAGAATAGAGAAAATACACAAAGATAAAATAAGGAAAATTAGACATTTGGTGGAAAAGCCCAGGATTGTCTGGAGAAAAGTCGAAAGTAGTGTCGAGAGAGTCTGCTGCACCAGAGGTCCCCACGAGGGGCCCCACCAGAGGACTCTTTAGAAAACGTTCTGGAGCTAAAATCCTGCCAAACTTCCCATGTAACTGGTGCAATTTTCACTCCATATTCTCCTTTCTTTATTCTCTACCACAACTGAATTCTGAGTTCCTAACCCACCGGGACCTGTACCTAACAGCCTGTCTGTCTACTGGCATTTGTT